GTCACCGTCCCCCAGGACAGTCCGTTCCCAGCACAGGCCAGGGGCGGGGAGAGGGTGGGGAGGGGGCATTCCTGGGCTGCCTGGGGGCTGAGTCACCCCCGGCCACCGCGGCCACGCGCACACGCAGAGACACGCCACGGCCACACACACGCAGCGTGTGCACGGAGCAGAAGGCACGGTGACACACGCGTGTGGCCGGGTACAGGCACACGCAGCGACGGGAGCGTGCAGATCAACGCGGCGCTGCGTGCACCTGGGGGACACAGGAGAGGGCACACGCGGTGACACACACAGCTTGGGACACGCAGAGACACAGCATCCACTCTCAGCGCCCATGTGCACACGGACATGCACACACATGTACGCACACACATGGATTTGGGGGCGGTGCGGGGCACGTGCCCCTCTCAACCTCCCCACACACAGCGCAGCCGAGGGCTGAGCATCCTCCAGCTGTGACCAGCGCACGTGGGGGCCTCCCCCGTTCCTCGGGGGCTCGAGGGGGGGCCCTGGGAGCCGGTTGCGGGGGCGTGCGGCTGAGCGTCGCCGGGGCTGCGTCACCGTGCTGACGCACCGTCGCTACCTGTGGGTCCCGCTGCTATAAATAGCCCCACGCACGCCCCATCTGCCGCTGGCACAGTGCGTTGTGAGGGGGGGGGACACCCCGCTCCGTGCCCCCCGTGCCACCAGGACCCAGGGGCCAGGTGGCCTCATGCCAGCCCCAAAAATCTGAGCAGTGGCCGGAGGGTAGCGTGGTGGTGGTGGCACTGTGCCACCTGGCATGGCCTGGGCTGGCAGGACCAGCACGGACGTCACGAGAGCTCCTCGAGGTCCTCGTAAACACGGTGACGCACCGGCGATGCCCTCTGGCCCCGTGTCCCCATCAGCCCCACTGCCCGGGGCCACGGTGTGGGGACGAGACCCCCACGGCACAGGGTGTGGGGACGAGACCCCCACGGCACAGGCTGTGGGGGCAGGGTCACACAGGGTTTACCCCTCAACCATGCCAGTGTCACCGGGGCCATTTAAGCGCCATCCCCTGTGCATGCAAATGGGGGAGCTAAGCCGGTGCCCCCACCCAAAACACCTCAGCTGAGAGATGTTTTTGGGGGGGTCTCCAAAAGGGGAGGAAAAGGAGATTTGGGGTCTTTGTTGCTGTCAAGGGCAGGCAGCCAGGCTGGGACGAGCAGTGCAACCGGTGCCGGTTCCCAGCGCAGCTCCTGCTGCTGCTCCGGCCCCGCTGCGACCCCGGTCCCGGCGGGCGGGGGTCCGCGGGGATGGGCTGGCACCGCGCCCCGGGCCCGCCGCCCCCGTGATGTCACCGCCCATGCACGCCGGGCTCCACCGGCCGCGGCTGCCGGCCAGGCTGGGGGAACCGGGGAGGCCCCGGGCTTGGCGAGGACCCGGGGGTCCCTCAGCCCCACGATGGCCTGGGAGGGGGCCGGGGTCGGGGCCAGGGCGGGAGGGGTGCCGTGCACACAACAGCCACGCGTGTCCGGCTGTGTTCCACGCGTATGCCCGTGCACTGCACACCGGCCGTGTGTGCATCCCCACGGCCCAGCCCAGGTGTGCTGCAGCCCCTCGGGGTGTTCAGCCCCCCCCGGAGATCCCCAGAGCCCCCAGCAGCCCGGGCACGCCGGGGCTGACCCCCGCAGCCGGGCTGTGCTGCACACGTGTGCACAATGGCTGCGAGCTCTGCGTGCACACGCGTGTGCAAGGGCCCGTGGACACGTGTGGGGCAGTGGGAGGCTGTGGGGAGCGCCGTGGGGCCGCGGCTGGTGGGCGGGGTGAGACATTCCTCACGGCGCTTGTTATTTTATCTGTTTCAAAGTCAGTTCCTGGAATGTTTTTAATTCCAGGATCCATCCCTCTGCCGGCAGCTCCCGGGCCCCCCCCGCGGCCTCCCCTGCACCCCACACCAGGACTGCCTGCCCACAGCCCGGCCCCACAGCAGCACCGGGGCCTGGGGAGGGGGCTCAGCCTTTCGGGGGCCTCTGCACCCTCGGGGACATCCAGAGGGCACCCATGCGTGCCCCAGCCTTGGCGGGTGCCCCACAGCCGGGTGGTGGGGGGACCGTCTGCAGCCCCACGCGGGGGCCTGGGCTCGCCCCCACCCGGGACCCCGCTGCGGCAGACGCCGTGTTCCCAACTTGTGCCAGGGACACGCGGCAGCACGTCGCCCACCCGGCGTCTGGCACCGCCGCGCCAGCCCCGTCTCTCGCCCGCAGCCAGCGCCGGGTGCAGCCGCAGGGATTCCAGGGGGGCTGTGGGGCTGGGGCTTCCTGATGTACCCCACGCCAGGAGGGAGCTGGAGGCGGCCACGGGGGTCCCGTGGCCGTGGGGACGCAGGGTCAGCGCACGAGGCACAGCCACCGCCCTCGGCCGTGGGGTTCACGGGCACACACGGGGTTCACATGCGTGTTTGCAGGCTGGGGGGTGCGGGCAGGCGCTGTGGGGAGGCCGGGTGGGTTTTTGGGGTGCAGGGCGCAGCGGGTGGGTGTGCAAGGGCTGGGCGTGCAAGGCTTGACGTGCAACCCCACGCATGCCTGTGCCGGGGTGTGCCCGGCACCGCGGGGCCGCGGCACGGCCGGCACCGTGGGTGTGTGCAGAGCCCACGGGCGTGCCGGGAGCCCTGGGAGCCACGGCAGCTGTGGGTGTTTCCTGGCACACCCTCTGCGGCAAGGGCTGGGCAGAGGGACAAGGGGGGCACCGGGTCCAGCTGTCCCCACCCACTGGCTGTGGGTGCATGGACACACCTGCCAGGTGACACCCACGCTGCCCCCACAGCGGGCACCACACCGCAGGCACAACGCTGGTGCTGTGGATTGCTCCATACTGGGAGCACTGGGATCAGCACAGCCTGGCAGCAGTGCTGGCTGCCGGGCAGGGCTGGGGGCTGTGGGGAGAGGAGCCAGGATGGGGTGCAGGGGGTGTGAACCATGCCAACACCTGGGCTGGGCAGTGAGGGCTCTGCCCAGCCTCGCCCACCGCCAGCGACCCCCTGTTATCAGCAGCATCTGGGGGCCCTGGGCGCGGTGATGTCACCCTGTGGCGTGGCACACTGCAGCGCCCTGTGCCCTGGCATGTCCCTCTGTGCCACAGACACCTCCTGCGGGTGCCTGGTCCGTCCCGTGCCATGAAGCCGTGCCATGGCTTCGGGGCCAGGCCTGTCCCAGCTCACACCCTGCAGCACCCCCGCTCCCCCAAACCCTGAGCTGCGCCCCTGGGAGGCTGCAGCTGTTGGGACCTCCCAAGGATGGACTGGGGGCTCCCAGGGGAGCGCCCACAGCGGGGCTGTTTGCGTGTCCCCGCCGTGCACGGCCGCTGGCGCTTGTCCCCGTGTGCACACGCGTGTGTGTGTCCCCCGCGTGCCCTCCCGGCAGCCATTGCCTTACAAGGCCGCCGTGTTGCTCCTGCCGCGGTCGGCGGCTCTTCCCGTTGCCAAATTTGGCACGGGCTGGGGGTGAAGGGGGGGAGCAGGGGCTGTAGGGGGGGGAGCCCGAGGTCTGCTCTACCCGAAATGACGTCAAAGCGGGGCGCAGGGTGCCCGCTGCGGCACAAGTCACCGCAGGAACCTGAGCTGCTTCCGCTCCCTCCCGGCTTCCTCCGGTGCTCGGCTGCTCCTGGGAGTTCAGGGTCCGGCCAAGCCCCCCCACAGCCCACACTGGGCCCCCCGGGGGTTCCCCATGGGAAGGAGCCACTCGCTTCCCATCCTGTCTGTGAGGTGCTGAGGGTCCCATGGAGCTCTGGATTGTTCTCTGTCACCAACGCCGGGGTGTGGGGACAAGGCTGGGACATGGCAGAGGGGACACGGGCAGCCACTGCTGCCCCCTCCCCACAAAACAGCTCCACAGCTCAGCGCCCAGTCAGGATTCACCCCGCCCCAGGTGTCACCTGGAGGTGACAGTGTCACCGTGTCAGTGTCACTGGACAGCTCTGGGGGTGTCCCAACCCACAGTGTCCCCCCACAGCAACCGACACCCCCAGCCCCCCTGGCCTCCAGCTTCCTCCCAGGGATGCTGGGGGCTGCAGGAAGAGGGTAGCATGGGTGAGATGGTGCTGACACACATCCCCAGGGCCACCCCACCCCATCACCTTCCCCGGGGCAAGTTCAGGTGGGGAAACTGAGGCACGGCCACATTCATGGCCACCAACCCCCCGCCCCAGCCCGCAGCCACCCCACCGTGACGCAGGAGGGAGGGAGGGAGCTGGCAGGGAGCTGGCACTCACGGCCAGCCCGGCTGGTGCAACCGGCCCAGCTCCTCGGGGCAGTGGCCAGTGGGACGAGACTGGGAGCACCGAGTCGGATGAGCACCCACAGGTTGGGGTCTGGCACCCAGAGAGTGCTGAAAACACCTCAAGGAGACCCCAGACCTGTTCCCTTGCCAGGGAGGATTGGGCATGACTCCCCTCCTTCCTCCTCTCCTGTCTCCCCACACCGACACCAGACACAATTGCATCCAGACTGCCCAAATTTATTTCAAAAATAAAAAATAAAATATTAAAGACCGAAAAAGCCTTGCTCTTCCCCCCCCGCCCCCCTTTTCCCCAAAACACACACACAAAAAAAAAAAAAAAAAAAAAAAAAAAAAAAGACTTTTACAGACAAAAAACACATCACGTGGGGGCTCTATTTGCACAGATCCTGACGGAAAAAAATCCAAGTCGGACGAGAAAAAGGATCCTACGGCCTATGAAGACTATGTCAGTATTGGCTCAGTCGGGTCATTAATGTCTATAAATACCGGCCCTGCAGCCGGGACCGAGTTTGGGGTTATTTATTCAGGGTTTTTTTTTTTTTTTTTTTTTTTTTTTTTTTTTTTTTTAAGTTAAAAAAGAAAAAAATCCAACCACCCAAGCGGTGGGTGGGAAGGAGTCCAGGGACTCGGAAGTTGGGCTCGGCCGCGGAGGGAAGGCGCCTTGGCTTCTCCCTCCCCAAACAAAATTAACACCCCCCCAAAAAAACAAAGCCCCCCACCCCCCTCCCCCCTCCCCGCATGTCCCCCCGGGGGGGCCCAGCCCCCAGCCCCACAGCCGAGCAATGCTACATATAGAAGGGAAGGAAAACAAACGGCCCCCAAATCGGGGGGGGCTCCAGCACCTCCGAGAGAGACTTCATCTCCTCCTGCCTGCACCGGGGTGGGGTGGCACAAGGTGGGGCCGGAGCTGTGCCCCTCTTCACAGCAAAGCAGCAGCTTCGATACACCCCAGGGCCCCCCCCGGGTGCCAGGACCCCCCAGCTGGGGAGGTGCGAGGAGGGGGCGGCTCCTGCTGCTGTTCCCCATCGCCCCAAACCCAACCGAGCAGGGGGATGGGGGGCTCCCCCTAACACGCAGGTCGGCCCAACGCGTCCGGTGGCAGGAGACGGCAAATCTCGAGGAGCCCCGGCCCGCGACGTCAGCGCTGCCTCCCCAGAGCGGGGCCAGCCAGCGGGACCCCCCGGCACAGTCCCCCGGGGCCCTGGCTCTCTATGCTACGACAAACTCGGATTTCATCTCGGCCTTGACCTCCGGCTTCCAGACCGAGTCCTCGAAGTCCAGGTCCAGGCTGCCCTCGCTGGAGACGCTGCTGTTGCTGTTGGTGCGCCCGGCCTTGCGGTTGGGCACCCAGTGGTACGGAGCCCTGGCGTCCCGCCGCGCCTTCCGCCGCAGCCGCTTCTGCTGCAGCAGCAGCTGCAGCCGCTCCACCTTGCAGCGCGTCGCCCGGTTCTCCGTCTGCCGCAGCCGGTCCCCTGCAAGGGGAAAAGGGGAGAGGGGGTCACGGGGGGCTGCCGTGCAGTGCCGTGGGGGGACACGGCAGCCCCCGGTGGCACGGAGATGGGGACATCCCTGTAACGGGCAGGGGGTGCCCTGTAATGGAGAAGGATGGGTCATGGTGGGGTTCTCCCTGATCCATGCATGGCTGGGGGGACACAGCCCAGCAGGTAGCCCCCAATGGCACATGGACACCCCTAGAGCAGGGGTCCTCCAGAAGGAAAAGGGTGAAGTGGTTACCAGAGGGTGGCCTAACCTACATTTGGGGGGATCACAGAGCACCCCATGGCACAGACCCTTGGCTATCCCAAAAACAGGGTGCCTACCACAGCACCAGGCTGATCCCCAGAGGCCTACAGCCCGTTTTTGGGGTGCAGGATTCCCACCACAACACCGCCTCTATCCTCCTGGATGGATGGGGAGGGTGCCTGGCCCAGAGCAGAGCTGGGGGCGGCCCTGGAAGACCCGGTCACACCAGCAGGGGATGGAGCCAGCATGGAGCCACCCCCTGTGGGGACCTGGACCACCCCTGGCTAGGAGGGAAGGAAGAACAAACCCTGAGGGGGCTGAGCCAGCACTGGTGGTTTCACTTCTTTCCTCTAAGCAAATCACAGGGGGTCTGGTACGGGTGCCTGCGACACCTTCCGGCCCCAGGGCTCACAGGTGCGCACCCAAAAATGCTGGGAGAGCCTCTGCCATGCTGCAGCCAGGCCCACCTTCACCCCCAGTCTGAGGAGATGGGTTTGGAAAGAAAGAGCCGGCGTCTGCGTGACCCCAAAACCTCTGCCCGCACAGCTGAGCTCCAGGGGCAGCACAGACACTGCAGCCACCTGCCACTCCCCCACACCCCCACCCACACAGGGACACTTTGTCCCCACAGGGTTTGGCAGAGATGACAATGCAGGGTGGGTGGGGGGACCTCCCTGAGTCCCCAGGGGTGCTGATTGTCCCTGAACATGCGACCCTCCCGACTGACACCTGTCAATCATCCAGTTCCCAATCCCTCTCTGCTCATCCCAGCCACGGACCAGGGAACCCCAAGAGGCACCAACCTCAAACCCCAACCCCTCTCCACTCGGGGGCAGCCGGACTCACCACTGGGCTTGCACATCCGGATCTGGCTTTGGCACTGGACGACGGGGTGCAGGGTGGGGGCGGCGGCCGCCGGCAGCGGCTCTGAGGTAGTTTTGGTGGCGAGGTCTGGAGAGGCAGGCGGCGAGGAGGAGGAAGAAGAGGAGGAGGAGGAGGAGAACTGCGTCTGGCAGCGGAGCTGTGTCAGGGACTGGGGCATGCCCTGGTAGTGTCTCGTGGCGCTGAGGAGGTCGTTGAGGATCTGCAGGATGGTGCCGATGTCCCGCCGCGGCCGCCCGCTGCTGTCCTGGCAGTTGGGGTGCAAAGTGCCTGAAGGTGGGGAAGAGGTGGGTGTGAGACAAGCAGCCCCCCCAGATCCACAGCCCCATTGGCCCCAACATCCCCCCAGAGCCCCCCAGCAGTTCAGCAGGGCGTACCGGAGAAGGTCCCTGAGAAGACCCCAGGCGCGTGGTTGACAAAGCTCTCGATGACCGCCCCGGGCTTGCGGGATCGGGCCGAGGGGGCCGGACTGCTGCCCGGGGAGCTGCTGCTGCGGGAGCCACAGTCCACCTGCGAGGGGAGAAACATGCCATCAGCCTCGGGGCAGGGGTCTGGTGGGGCACACAAGCCTGCTCCTGACCTTCTGCCACCCTGCAAAAAGCCAGGTCAGGAGAGCCCAGACAGGGAGGTGCAGCAGGCACCGGTCCCAGTTCTCCTGGCGTGCAAGGAACCACCCTGGGGGTCCCGACAGGGCCCCCACCCTGCTGTGCTGTGCGAGGGGGAAAGGGAAGCAACAGCAGCAGCTCCTGTCCACCCATGGGGACAGGCAAGGTGTGAGGACAGGCAGGGTAAGAGCTTGGTTACACCCTGTCCTTGAGCCCCTCCCTGGGACCTGGGGACATTCTGGAGACCAGACTGGGAACAACCCATTTCCACACATGAGGAAACCGAGGAAGGGCCAGGCACGACCTGGGAAAGTCACAGCTTCATCCCCCTTTCCCAAAGGCCCCAGGACATCCCCAGACTCACCTCTGAGCAGGAGGAGACCACGCTGCTGTTCACCGTCTGCGTGCTGGCCCCGTGTGACCGGAACATGCCGGCGGTGACGGGAGCGGCGTGAGGGGCGTTACAGTACATGGGGGGGGCCGGCGCAGAGGGCGTGGGGCTGGGGGCCGGGCTCTGCTGGCACGAGGGCACCACGGGGATGCGGGCGAAGCCTGAGCCGCTGGCACCGTGCAGCGTCCGGCAGTGGGGGCTGGCGCTGGCCCCCGCCTCGCCGCGGCTGGCGATGAGGTGTCGGTGCTGGAGCTGTCCAGTGCTCTGCTGGGCCGCCAGCTGCAGCTGCACGAACATCATGTGGTCACCCACACGCAGGGCCAGGGTCAGCGGGGACCGGCCCGACAAGAAGTCGTTGACCTGGGGGAGAGAGAGAAGGGATCTCATCAGCCGTGGCACCAGCAGTGGGGTGGTGGTCGTCCCCTGGTGCTGAGCAGGGGAAGGCGATTGCCCCTACAGGTTTCTCTTGGCCTTAGGGATGGGTCACCGGGGCAGAGAAGGGGTGACCCCCTCCTGCAGCCCTTCCCAGGCCCTCACCCGTGCCAGGCTGGCAGACGAGCCCAGCTGCCGTCCCCACGCGACCCCAGCCCGGTGCCAGCTCCGTCAGCTGATGGTGCCAGGGGGTATTTTTCTTCCTTCTGCCCTTCCTGCCCTTTATTCCCCACCACTGAGTGGCCGTGCCTGCCTGGCTGCCCTCCGCGGTGCTGATCCCGGCAGGCAAGGACAGGCAGGGACTGCCCAGAGCCACACGCTCGGCCGAGGGCCAGCACTGCTGCTCCAGCCAGCGGGAGGGGTGTCCCCCCTCCCCAGCTCCAGGGGGTGCCCCTGCTGGCACAGGGAGAAGAGGAGGGGGCAGGTGAGGACATGCCGGGTCCCTGCGTGCCCACCATTGTGACTCAGTTGGTGCAGCCCACCTGCCCTCCTCCCCCCCCAAGGCAGCTGGGGGTGGGGGCCAGGCCCTGCCCAGCCCGGAGGCTCCAGCTCCGGCAGGTGATGGAGCAGCTGCAGCGTGGAGACAAGAGGCAGGGCCTGACCCTCCCCAGGCTGCAGCTGTGGGGGGCCCCCCAATGCCCAACACCTGCCACCCCCCAGCTCACACCCCTCAGCCTCCCCCCAGTCGCATAAATCACTTGGCAGCTGTGCCAGGCAACAGGGGAGCCCCCCAAGCACTGCCCCACGTTCTAGGGGGGGTTGGGACAGCCATGAGCCACCGTGAACCCCCCCTTGCCCTCATGTGTGCTGCAGGGGGCTGTGCCTCTCACCCCTGCCAGCCCAGACGGGTTAATGGGGACAACACCCCCCCTTCCACCCTACACGCCCCCCACTATTCCAGGGCACACAGCTTTCCCAGCCTATCATGCGCAGCTCCTGATATCACCCACCCACATCCCATGGCACCTTTGGGGTGCAGCCACCGAGGGGTCCCCAGTGGGGGCCCAGCACCCCCTGTCCCCAGCACTGCAGAGCAGGGCCCCCCCGGGCCCCCCCAGCCCCGACCCCGCTCCCCCACGCCCCGCTGCCGCGGAGGCCGGTTCTGAGAAGCCGTGGGAAAAGCAGCTTTAAAAATACCAGCAGCAAAGCCCCGAGCGTGTCAGGCGGAGGCTGCAGAGGAAGGGGTGGGCGGGAAGGAGACGCTGCAGCTCTGGACACGGAGGTTACGGGGCAAAGGGGCGGGAGGGGACGGTGGGTATGCACACGGGCACACGTGTGCACACGCGTGTGCGTGCACAGAGCACCTGGATGTGGGAAAGCATCGCCCCAGCCCCCATCCTGCCTCAGTTTCCCTTCCCATAGCAGCCTGGATGGCCTAATGCCAGGCTGGCATCCCCATCCTCACCGCTTGGTCCCATCCCAGATCTGGTCCCTGCATGGAGTCCCCCCACGGCTGCTGGGCCACCTCAGCCCTGCTGCTGCTCTCTGAGCCACTGTAGGGGGTACATTTCACACACCCCAACACCAGGTCCAAGCATCGTTCACCAAAGTGTGGGAAGGGGTCCCAGCTGGGTCCTGCTCCCACTGGGCTCTTTCACAGCCCCATCCCAGCCCCTGCCACCCTCCCCAGGCTGGGCTCTGCACCCAGGTGTGCCCGGGGGAGCCCCGTGCACCTCCCCGGGGCCCCTTGACGTCAGCCGGCCCCGCGGCCGCCTCCCGCACCCTCTGACTCACCCCTGCCCTGCCTGACCCCTCGCCAGCGCCGGGAGAAACCAGAGCACCCCAACCCAGCCAGGCCCCCGCTGCCGACACTTCCCAGCAGCACCAAGAACGCCCCTCCATCCCCATGCTCGGGGGTCCCAGGGCCCCCCCCCTGCTGCACCCCCGGGGCTGAGCCCTGGCGCGGAGCCGGCCCGGTCCCCGCGGCGCCCCAGCCCCGGGGCTCCCAGCACCCGCCCCCACGCCGCTGCCAACCTCCCCCCCCGGCGAAACCAGCCCGCTCCAATGCAAACACGTCCCACCCAGCCGCCCGCTCGGCCGCCCACGCCGGGAGGACCCCGTCCCTCCCAGCCGGCTCCGCCGCGGGGGCCGGGACAGCCTCGCCGAGGGGGCTGGAGCCGCTGAGCCCCCCCCAAAGTCCCGCACTTAGGGGTCCCCTGGGACTCTGCCAAGCCCTGAGGGGCTCAGCTGCACTGTACCGGGCTCGGGGCCCGCAGGGATGGGGCAAGTGTCTCCCAGCTGCTTCTCAGAAACGCCGATGACTCAGAGAACGCCGCATTCCCGCCTCGCTCCGACGCCTGGCCCCGCGTCACCCCGGCCCCCAGCACCACGCAGCCCCGGGCCCCCAACTCTGGGCTGGCAGAGAGGGGGAGCTGCCCCCAAGGAGCCCCTGCCCCGATGGGGAGGGCAGCACCCCCAAACAGGCACAGGGAAACCATCCTAGGAGATCCAGATGGCAAAGGCAAGGCCAGGGCCAGGATGAGGAGGGGGAGCAGGAAATGCCCCCCCAAGCCCCTGCAGGGTCTCCAGCTGGGCACAGCTGGGCCCCCCCATCCAGCCAGCTGTGCTGGTGCCCAGGGGTTTGTCTGTGCCAAGGTGGGGGGCAGAGGGACAGAGCTCCCTGGCCACGTTCCCCCAGCCCTGGAAAAGCAGGATGTGTCATCCCCTTCCTCTGTTCCTCCTCCTCAGCACTCCTGGGCAGAGGGATGGGGGAAGGAAGAGCCGGCAGTGGGACCTGCCATCCCTGGAAAGCGGGGGCAGCCGTGTGGGGAGGAAGGAAGTGCAGGAGCATTTCCAGGAAGCCCCCGTGCCCGGCAGTCACTTCCCCACAGGCTGGGGAGGGGGTGGCAGCGCCCCGGCCCCCCCTTACCACCCCCAGAGGAAGCGGCTCAGCTCTCCCCGTGCTCCGGAGGCTGCGTGACGCAGGCAGAGCCCAGCAAAGCATGAATGGGAGGAGTGGTTTCCTGCCCCCCCCCGCCGCCCCCCAGGTGCTGGCGGTTCCTCCTGCTCAGCCCTGGCTTCCTGAATCACCAACCGGAGGAACCTGCGGTGGGCAGGGAGGTGCGGAGCCGCTTCCCGCAGCCGCTGGCAGACCGTAGCCCACCCACCCACCCACCCTCCTTCGCTCACTGTGCTTGGGCTGGGGGGGCACCCTGAGCTCCACAGGCTCCTGGCTCCCCAGTCCACCCCACCTCGCTGCCCCACAGCAGAGCAGAGCAGCACAACCCCATCAGACATATCTGCAGCCCTGAGGCCAGGAGGAGCACTGTGACCTGCCAGAACCAGCCCCCTCCGGCAGCTCTGCAGCCCAGCTGGGATGGGCAGCACCTTGCAACCCCCCCATGGGACTCCAGCAGCGTCTGGCACTGGGGATCCACTAGGGCTCCAGTCCAAGCTTACCCCCCCCCCCCCCCCCCCCCCCCCGGGGGGAGATAGCCGCCCCAAACTCTCCCTCCCTCACCCGCTTACCCCCCCCCCCCCCCCAGCCTCCACATGGGGTTAAACCAGCTCTCAAAAGTCAAGGTCACCCGGGCAGCCAAGGGCACTGCGGGTCCCTGCAGGCAGGGCAGCCTGGCCCTTGCCACATCCCCACGGGGGGGGCACAGCAGCGCCCCAGCAGCCCCTTCTCTGAGCCCTGGCACCACATGGGGCTCAGCCCCTTCCCAGAATTCAGCAAGGCAGGTTATAAAAACGCTCCAAAACCCAACCCTTCAAAAAAACCAAAGCTGCAGCACGGGCCAGAAAAAGGAAGGAAAGAGTTTCACAGCAGTAACAGAGACGGAAAACAAAGGAGCGGGGCCTGCACGGCTGGGGGTAAATTCCACCTTCGCGGCAGGAGCTGGCGGCTGCGCGCGCACCCACGGCTCACCCACGGCTCTCCCACCCTGGGAACGCTTCCTCCCCGCAGCTGAGACCCCCCAGCAGCGAGGACCCTCCCCGCCCCCTCCAACAACTCCACAGCAATTCAACCGCGGCCCCACCACCGCCGCCCACTTGGCCCCTTCGCGCCCCAGCACAAGGCCACCGAGCAAGGGACGAGGAGGGGGTCAGAACGCCCCAGCACGGCCAATGTGCACCCCCAAGGACGGCTCCAAGGAAAGCAGGAACACCCCTTTAGGTGCTGGGGGGGAAGCCAGGCTCTGCAGCCCCAGCGTGGTCCTGCCAGCCTGCTTTACATCCATCACAGCTGTGGGGCAGATGGCAGCCCATCCTTGCACCCCAGGGTGGGCAGCTGGGGGGGTTACAGCCCCACACCCCCGGGCAGGGCCCTGAGCCGCCCGGCTCTGCCTCCAACCCGCGGCGTGACCTTGGGTGAGTCACTTCACCTCCCCGGCTCCCGGCTTGTTTGGGCTGCCGGCGTGGGACCTCCCCGAGCCCGGCGCTGCACTGGGTGACGGTGCCCGCCCCGGGCACCACCCTCAGCACTCCCAGCCCTGCTGGAGGTGAAACCTCAGCGAGGCACCAACGCCAAAGCTTTTGGGAGGGGAAGCAAAGCGAGGCCGCAGCTGTCCTTCCTCCCCCCCCGCCCTCTGCCTTTGTCTCCATCCTGCCCCGGCATCCAGCCCCTCACCTGAGTTTCAGTTAAGCTTTCCAGAGCTTGCATCACCGACTGTTCTGGCCTGGACGCCTGGGACTGGAAAAAAAAGGAGGAGGGGGGGGGGATTAACGTTACAAATGCAGCAAAGGAGGGGGCGTCCGCAGCAGGAGGGAGGGATGACATGTCACTTCCACTATTTCTACACAAGCCCTGAGAAAGGAGTGAAATACTAAACCTGCTGCCGTGCCCAACCCAGCGCTGCCTCCTCAGCAAGAGCTGGGGCAGCAGAGCCGCGGGGCTGCCAGCACATCACATCCTCATCCTTGCCCGGGGCTTTAATAATAGACAGGGACGAGTGGGAGGGATGGAGGGAGCAGCAGGAAAAGGCCACTCACCATCAAGCCGGCCTCCACGGTGGGCACCAGTGTCAGCTTGCTGCCTTCCACGACCCCCAGGTCCTGCAGTTTGCCAGAGCTGAGGCGGCTGTGGGAGGAGATGCCAAAAGCAGGGTCAGTGCAGGTCGGGCAGCTCCCCCAGAGGGTACACACGAGAGGGGGACACCAGCTGCAAGTCTGGCTGCTCCCAGGGGACCAACAGCCCCCCAAGCACCCCTACCTCAAGAAATTCCCAGCCTTCACAGGCAGGAGGGAACCCTGGCACCCCACCACTCTGCTCTCCCCTGCGGGAGCTCACGGTGTGGGGCACCCCTGCCCTGGGCACGGGGCAGTGCTGAGGGGGCCAGAGAGGAGCTGAGCTGCGGGGAGGGGGGTGGGAGCACAGGGTTCGTGGCACAGGAAACCTGCCCACTGGGGGGGCGGTTAGAGAGAAGTTGGGACCAGCGTAGGTGGGGGAGGCAGCACTGGGAACATGCTCCCTCAACCCCGCGGCTGCCGGCAGATGGATGTGGTGTCCCCGTGTGTTCCCCCCCCGCTTCCTCCCTGATCCGGGAAAGACTCTCCAAGTTACTCCCGGCCCGACCCCACGCGGGCCCCGCTCCACGCGGGGGGTGCGCAGCCCCTCGGCCCGGGCCCCCGGCAGACAAAGGCGCCCCCGCCGCCGGGGGCTCGGGGGGTGGGGGGGGCCGGGCCGCGCCGCCGCCGGGGCTGAGCCCAGAACAGGGGGAGGGGGCGGGAGCCTTTGTGCGGTGCCGAGCCCGGTGCGAGGGGGCCGCCCCCGCGCCCAGCCCCGCTGTCGAGGGCTGGGGACCCCGGGCCTCCTGAGCCGCGCCGAGCCCCCCCGTACCGAGCCGTGCCGTACCTCTCTTTGTGCAGCAGCGCCAGACGCTCCTTGGGCACCTTGAGGCGCTGGGACAGCCGTCGCTTCAGCCCCTCCACCGTCTCCTCGGCGGGCACCGAGAGCTCATAGCGGGTGCCGGTGGTGGTGTGGATGTAGAGGTTCATGGGGGGTTCGGGTGGCCCCACCTCGCAGGCGGGAGCCCCGCGGCTGCAGCTCCTGGCGCCGGGCTGCGGGTCCATCCGCCGACCTGCGGGGGCAGCGGCGCTCGGTGTCGGGGGGCGGCGGGGGGATCGGACAAAGGAGGGAGCCGGGCCCGCTCCGCCACACGCCCGGCGGGACCCACGGGAGCTCCGGCTACGCGCTGAGGCCTCGGGCGGGGGCCGGGAGGAGGCGGGGGAGCGGCTAGGAGGGGGGTCCCCAAGCAGGGCTGCACCGGCCGTGCCCTCCGCAGCTCAGGCGGAGAAAATAAAAAAAATATATGTATATAAAAAATAAAAAAAAAATAGAAAATCTCCCGTTCTCGCCCCGCTCCGGTGGCTGCCGCGGGAAGGGGGGGTGGTGGAAGCGGCGCTGCCTGCTCCTGCCTGCCGCCTCCTTTCTTTCTCCTCGCCGCCGCTCTGTGCTCTCGGTGCGGGGTATCTGGGGGCGGGGTGAGGCCCGAGGCCGCGGCGAGGGGCGGGGAGGCCGCCTCGCTCCCCCTTCTCTGGGGCCGGACCCGCCGAACCGGCCGCCGCTCGCGCTGCCGTGGGAGCACCGGGGGGGGAGGGAAGTTACAATGTAGCAACGTCCCGCGGGCGGGGCCTCGCCCTCATTCACTCCGGCTCCTCCGGCGGCCGCGGCCAATGGGAGCTCGCCGAGCGCCCAGACATCCGCGCTGGCGGCCAATGGGAGGCGGGTGCAGCTTCCCCACGTGGCCCGGTGGGCGGGGCGGTCCGGCCGGATTCCTCCCGCCCACGCGGCCGCGGAGGCCCCGCCCTGGCCCCGCCCCCCGCGCGCCCTCGCGCCGCGCCTGGAGCCATTCATAATCCCGGCGCACAACAAAGGGGCGCGGGGGGCTCGGGGGTCCGGCAGTGCCGGGCTGCCCCTCGCCCGGGAGCTGATGGGCTTGGCGTGCGAGGCCCGGGCGCCACGGAGGGGTGGACGCGGGACACAAGCAGGCCCCGGCCCGGAGCGCCGCGGCGGGGGCGGTGAGCGGCCCCCGCACCGGAGGAGGCCGCGGCGGGAGGTGACTGCCCGCGGGGCCGGGCGGGAGCTGGAGCCCCCGGAGCCGAGTGACGCCGGGACACAGAGGCGGAAAGGGCGGGGGTGGGGGGGGACACGCATAGTCACCCGCGGCCGGTCACACCCGCCCGGTCGCACGCACCCGCCCGGTCACCCTCCCGGTGACGCCGTTACAGCTACGGGGAACTGTCCCGGTGAGGGGTTGAGCCCCCTGTACCCCCCGGCACGCTCTTACCCTCCCCCCCAGTCCCGCAGCGGGAACCTCCACCCCAGAGGCCCCAGCCCCGCCTGCCGGCTCCCGAGGAGTGGAACGGACACCCCGCAGCCCCGGGGCCCCGTCCCGGCACCCGAACCGGGGGGGGCTATGAGTCAGCAAAGCGCGGGCGCCCTCTGCCGGCCCCGCTGCGCCTCCTGAGCCCGGGGGGGCCGCGGGGGCCGCACCGGCGGCGCGCCGGGAGCCCTTACCGAGACATCGGGTGGCCCTCACCGAAAGACCGGGCCCGGCCGCGGTGCGCCCCGGAGCCGCTGCTCGCCCACCGGGATGGAGAGCCCTTGCCCGAGGAGACCCCCCCCACCCCGAACGCCGGGTCGTGGGAGCGAGGAACCGCTTCCCGGGACGCGGCGGGGGCACCGGGGTTCCGACAGCTGGAGCGAGAAGAACCGATCCCGCTGCCGTTCCCCGGAGGCGGGCAAAGCTCCAGGTGACCGAGGACACGGAGGGTCTCTGAGGGTGAGCAGAGCTCCCGAACAACCGGAGAGGGGCTCTGCCGTGCGTCCCCTCGGGAGCCCCGGGGAAGTGGGGCCACCCCTCCCGCTCCGGGGAAAGCAACCGAGAGATCGCGGTCCCGGTTCGGGATCCCCCCCGCAGCCCGACCCGGGCCCCCAGCAGCCCGGCGCGGCTCTACTCACCGAGCACGGCCCCGCGGATCCCGGCGCGGCCGGAGCTCAGCTGCCTCCGGTGGCAGGAAGAGGGAGAGAGACCCCAGAAACGTCCCGGGGGGAGGTGGTGGTGGGTGCGGTGTCACCTCCTGAGCGCTGCAGCCGGTCCGAGCGCAGCCCTGACGCGGAGCTGCCGGGGAGGTGCCCGAAGTTTTATCCCGCACCGCCCGGGGTGGAGCCTGGCGGGGGCAGGGACCGGTCTGGCCTCGGCAACGGCCCCGGCAACGGCCACGGCCCCTGCCCCGGCGGTACCCGCACCTGCTCCCGCGGGGGGTCCCGCTCTTTGCCCCAGGCTCTCCGTTTTGTGCCAGCCCCTACCTCCTCGTTACGGATCCCGCTCCCGGGATCCCGACTCACCGTTCTTTAATTTCGGTATCAGCCCACCGGGGGCATCTCAGCCCCTGCCGGGGTCCCGGCTCTGACGCGGCTCCTGACCCTCCACGGACGGTGGGGAGGGGACAGACCGGACACCTCTCCCCTCCCTCTGGGTCAAAGTCACCCCGTGGGCAGGGAACGGATGGGCTGAGCTCTCCTTGGGAGCCAAGTGTCAAACCTGCTGCCCGTGGAGACTCTCTGATGTCTAATGACAAGGCTGGATCATTCCTCCCCCAGGGATTCCCTCTGCCCAACCACCCATTTCCCAGCAGGGACACAGGCTTAGCCCTAGAGGGCTTTAAAGCAAGGGACAAACGGGCTGGTGGGCACCAGCTCCGGGGTGGGATGCCCTGTGGCACCCGGGGCTGCTTCCTCCCGGGCCAGCGACCGCCCCGTGCACACAGAGAGGGCGCTGGGAAGATGCTGGTGACCTCAGGCTGCCTTGCCGGGTCTCTCTTTCGCAGACAATGCCCTGGCACACCAAGACACAAAGCAGCTGGAGGGGGGGATCTGGCGGCCAGTCGACAGTGGGGAGACCTGACCCGTGAGGCTTCAGGAACCAAGGGGGGACTCTCTGAATCCCCAAAATTGCTGCTGCGTCCCTCCCACCCGGAGTCCCCTGGGGTACGTGCAGATGGCTGGGTGGGAGCGAGGCCACTGGTGCAAGGCAGAGAGCCGGGCTGGGAGGGAGCCTTTGTCGCACAGCCCACGGCCCCCCGCCCGCCCCAGCCCCCTCCAGGCTCTCGGGGGGGAGATGAGCTCAGGCGGCTCCGACTCCGGCTCCTGCCATTGTTGTCCCTGGGAGAGGGGCCGGGGCAGGGATGCGCCATTGTTCTCCCCGGGAGCTGCGGAGCCCCGGGCCTGCGAAGCCGCCCCTAGGGGGGCCACATCCCCAGCTGGCTGTGCGGGGTGAGGCCCTGGAGCAGCGAGGAGACAGGACAGCCCTGGTTTGGCCCTTCCACAGGTCAGATTTGTGCACCAGGAGGGGCCACGGTGGGGACAAGGTGTCACACCAGAGCCACTCCTGCAGGGAGCAGGGTCTGGCTGCCAGCTCCCAGCCCTGATTTGTGGGGAGGGACAAGGGGACATTGTGGCCATGGCTGGGATTGTGGCCTGCTTGGGTGCTTTGGGTTCTTTTGAGTTCATGGCAAAGCAGCCATGGCCCAAGGGCAGAGCATCTCCCCACATCCTGGCAGCCCTGAAGAGCCCCTTTCCTAGTCACCACCCTCCTCACACGGCTCCATCTCCTTCCTGGGAGGAAGCTCATCTCCTCCAGCAATCCTATGACTCCAGGAACTGGTGCTTTAGGAAGTGTGTGCACATTTCAGTATGGTTGAAGGTATCTGGAGCCTCCAGAGACACAAGCTGGGAGATCCCAGGATTCCCAGCAGCCTGGATTTTGTGTGTTTAGTTTATTGTGTTGCCCTGGGAATAAATCGTTAAAGATTACAGGCAGACTTGGGCATAATTGCTGCACGGCATCCGAGGCTCCTGCGTCTCCAGAGGGAGCATTCTCCAAACCCCGCACGGCTGAGCAGCTCGGGGAGAGACGATCCGACGAGCAAATACCTACACAAATCCTGCTGCAGGCCACACGCAGCTCCCGCAATCCGCTTAGCTAACCTGGCCCCGGGATTAGCCCCCGCGGAGGCTCACGCAGCCGGGAGGGCGGCGAGGACACGGGCTGGAGGAGAGGGGCTTACCCGGGTCCCGCCGGGACACTTCCCACGGGCCCTGGCCCCGGGCACGTCCCGGTGTCACGGCAGAGCCAGGGCAGGACCGTGGTGTTGGCTCCTTTGTGTCCCAGGGTCCTGCCGGCCCCAGCTCCAGCTGGGAGCCCCAGATCTTTTGGAGGCTGGTTCTTGGAAGTCTTCTCCCTCGAAGGAAGGGAATTCCCAGCCCTCCTTCTTCGGGGAAATCCCCCACCAGCCCCGGGCAGCAGCTTTTCTCTTTTCTCTCTTTTTCCACACCCCGCCTCCCCCCCCTTTCCAACCTTTTGGGCTGAATTCTTGGCTGATTCCACAGCTTTGGCAAACGGGGGATTTTTATCGCAAGCCTCTGCATTCCACTCGCAGGCGCGGGGTCATGGGATTAGGGCAGAGCTGACTCCGGCTCCGGAGCAGACAGAGGAGGGGAGAGGAGGGCAGAGGACGCGTTTCTCACTAATGTGGCTGCAGAAGAAGCCGGGCTGCAGCCTGGGGGAACCCAGGTTGGGACGGGGATCCTTTTCCTCCCCCAGCCCTCCGCCTGGGGAGGGGAGAGATTCCATGGCTTCCAAGAATCTCCCAGGCCCGCGGTGCCCAGCTGGGGCCTCGCACGGAGCTGCCGCAGCGAGTGGGAGCGTTCCCACGGGCGCGGGGCCAGCCCCGGGATCATGCGGGGCACACCCCGGCAGGAGGGTGCAGCCCAACCACTGCACCTCCACCCGCCCGACCCAGCCCACCGGGGCACCGGCGGCGGCAGCGGTGCCGGGCTGGGGGTCCCGGGGGTCCCCGAGCCCCGCGGGGCCGAGCGGCTCAGCCTCAGTCACGGCGGCAGCGGTGACAGCGGTGACTCAGCCGCCCGGCGTGCTCAGGTGAGCCACCGCTGCTGCCGTGAGGAAGGAGCTGCTGATTCCACCCTCCCGACACAACCCCGGGCACGGACCCCCGGCGGAGCCCCCCATCCCTGCAGGCTCGGGGTGGCCTCGTGACGGGCGCGGATGTCCTTGGGCAGGACGGCGGTGCCTGTGCCGGTGACGCTGGCGGGGCTGTAAACACCCAGGCGTGTCCTTAGAAACACACAACCGGCTCTGTGTGTTCCCAGCTCTCGGGGACGTGTCCTGGTGGCCTTTGGCAGAGTGTCCAGGCGTCACAGCCTGGGGACACTCCAGCTGCCAGCCCGATGCAGCCGGAGCCAGTGGCCCTGCCTGGCCTCCCTTGCCATGCCCTGGCTCTGGGGCACCCCACACTCGCAGGGCTCTGTCCCCCACCCTGGCCTCAGGCCTGGAGAGTCCCAGGGATGAAGTCACCCCTGGAGTGACTCAGGCAGCCCCCCTTGGGAGGTGGGCATAGGGTGAGCAGGGGGGACCCCGGCACAGGCCAGATGGCTCAGGGCAGACCCCAGGGTGACTCAGCTCTTGTGGGGGGCTGAGGCTGGGGGGAGTCACCAGACGCCCTCACCCACCTGGCCATGGGCCCGGCAAGGATGGCGAATCCCTCTGGATTTAGCAGCGCCCAGGTGTGGAGCCATACTTGGCTGTGCTGGGCTGTGGCCCCGCTGCCACGGTGAGGCCAGGGCTATTCTGGGTTCTTTGAGCTCACGGGCCCCTTCAGGACGCTGAACTCCAGTCCCTGCTCCCACCCCAGTGGCTCCCAGCCTCACTGCCTCCCTTCCCGTGGCCCCCTCAGCTGGGGGCAGGCAGAGCTTTGAGCCCCAGCCCTGCTTCAGCCTGGAGTTGTGATGGCATGAGCAGGAGGAACAGTGGTCCCCATCCCTGGCTACCTCCTGTCCTGCTTCATGTCCCAGCTCTGCCTCTGTCCCTCTTCCTCTGCAGCCCTGGTGCCCCTCCAGCCCCATCCTGCCCCCAGCCTTGTGCTGGTGTGGCAATTTTGGCAATGGCAGAATTCGGGATAGGAGAGGTCCTGGTGGTTCCATCAGTACCACGGGCACACGCTGCCAGCTTGTGCCCACCAGTGGGACCCTCCCATGGGCATTGCCCTCACGGTCCCCTGAGAACCACCCAAAAGGGCAGAACTCAGCTGCTGTGCCTGGGGAGCCCTGGAAACACAGGTAGGAAACTGTCGAGGTGAGAAGGGGCACCCAGGGCACAGACCCCCTGCCCACTGTGACCAAGAGGCGCCAGAGCCCTGATCCCCCACACCTCCCATGCCCCCTGTGCCCCCTGACCCCCCACACCCCTCCCTCAGCACCAGGGGCTGTTTCCCAGACGCTGCCACATTTCTTGGTTTGTTTTAAATCCCGGCTCCAGGAGTCAGCCGACAGCTCAGCTGTTGGTGGTGGTGTTATTATTGTTGTTATTATCATTATTATTATTATAAATGCTTAAGCGAGTTGCCAGCCTTGGGGAGGGGAAGGACTCAGGATTTCGGGAGCCTCCTTGGATACACACTGAACCTTGTTCCTGGGGTGACCCAGGCTCGTAAACCCGAGAGAAAGTAACTCCCTATTCCACCGCGTTCAATCCCATCCCACCCTATCCCGACCCATCCCATCACACTCCAGCCCTCTGATCTCACCGTGGGCTCACCCCGTGAGGCGTCATCCCCAATCCTGGGAATGCACGCACACAGGCTGGCAGAACCCTGTGGGATGGATCCCGAGCCCGTGCCCAGAGCCGGGGGTGATGCCAGCAGGGGATCCCGGTGCCCGGCGGGGGAGCAAGGGGGGCGTGGGGCGGGTGTCCCGCCGGGCTGCCCCGTGCGCTGACACACGGCTCACACTCAGCGCCGCGGCATTCCCGCCCCGCGCCTGCCCCCGGCTCCCCTTGGAGCCGCCTCAGGAATGCGGGAACCTCACCCGGGCGGGGAGTGCGGGGCCGCGGGCACCTCTCCCCCCTCCATCGCCTTGGGGAGCCCCCCAGCCCAGCACGGCACGGGGCAGACACAGCCCTGCTATGGGCCCAGCGCCATCCCTGCCCCCCTGCAGGGCTGGCACCCCTTGACCCCCAACACCGGGAAGGAGGAACAGAATCCATGGAGGCAGGATGTGCCCCAGGAAACCCCGACTCGGGCGGGATGGGGACGGGAGGAGGCACTTCCTCCTGGCCTTGTCCCTTCACACACAAGTTCAACTCCTTCACCCCGAAGGGGCACACGCTTGTGCACAGCCCCACGTGCTCACCGCACAGAGCTCCGTGTGTGCACACACTCCCGGGGCTCGCTCGGCCCCGGTGGGAGCAGCACTCCCACCCACGCTCCCACACCCCGGCCATGGGCGCAG